TCGCATCATAACAACCTAGTGAGGAGGTTTTGTGACAATGTCCAAAAATATGCCATAAAATACTTTACAAATAAAGTTCTCGCCTTTTTGCATATCTTTTCTGACATCAAAGGTATTAAATCATGTCAGGCCAAACGGCACACAGTAGTACAGTCTCATTTTAAAAGATAGCTAAATGGATTATTTAAAATCTGGTGAGTGAGTTCTGAGTAATCTTTGTCAGTGTGTTTGTTCAGAGAGACGGATAAAGATGATCCCACCAAGTTAAGCAGTGTTGGCTTACAATAACAAACACAGAGCGTCCGTGTAGCGCCTGAAACGAGCAGAGGTCAGACTGGAGATATTGATTCAGAGAGGAGAAAGGAAATCTCTCTTTATTTAAGCCGGCTCTGACACCTCTATATGTGAAGAGTCAGATGGTGAAACAACAGTTATATAGAGCCTTTCCATTCTTAACATATTTCCTGTTATCTGAAACCCAGGATGTGTAAATTATCGGTAACGCTAACATACTAATCCACAAAACGAAACATAATCCTGTTTTAGGATTAGAGTATTATTACCTCTAGGAAAAACGTCCTTCTTCCCAAAATTCATTTAAAATGGGATGAGCAGCCGGGTGCTTCTTCACAGGTATTAAAGGCCCCCTATTATACGGTTTGTCATCAATATATTACAGGTTTCAGATATATCCAGAACATGTCTCTGAAGTGTTTGGCTCTAAACACCAAACAGATCATTGTAGCATTACCCATAATCCCCTCTGTTTCAGCCCTGTTTCAAAAGTGCTGATTCTCTGTCTGTTACTTTAGATGAAGATAAGGAGCCCCTCCCCACGCCCCTCTGAGAGAGATTTGGTTACAAAGAACTCAATGGTGCTCTAGGAGGAGATTCATGTGATAAGGTGGGGGGGGGGTTACCTTGGTTGCTGATTGGCTAATGGTTACTCAAGACAACACATGTTGATGACATCATAAAGTGGCCAAAATCTGATCAGCTCATTTTCAGACAGGTTTTTATAAAAATGGATCAAAAAGAGAGAGAATCTTTGTTCCTGAAACTTTCAGAGTCTCTTGACACAGAGGAGACACATGGTGATGTAGAGGAGACATGAAGAAGAGGGGACACATGTTGATGTAGAAGAGACATGAAGAAGAGGGGACACATGTTGATGTAGAAGAGACATGAAGAAGAGGGGACACATGTTGATGTAGAAGAGACATGAAGAAGAGGGGACACATGTTGATGTAGAAGAGACATGAAGAAGATGTGGGGAAGGGAACACATGTTGATGTAGAAGAGACATGAAGAAGAGGGGACACATGTTGATGTAGAAGAGACATGAAGAAGAGGGGACACATGTTGATGTAGAAGAGACATGAAGAAGAGGGGACACATGTTGATGTAGAAGAGACATGAAGAAGAGGGGACACATGTTGATGTAGAAGAGACATGAAGAAGAGGGGACACATGTTGATGTAGAAGAGACGTGAAGAAGAGGGGACACATGTTGATGTAGAAGAGACGACACATGTTGATGTAGAGAGACTGAGAAGAGACGACACATGTTGATGTAGAAGAGACATGAAGAAGAGGGGACACATGTTGATGTAGAAGAGACATGAAGAAGAGGGGACACATGTTGATGTAGAAGAGACATGAAGAAGAGGGGACACATGTTGATGTAGAATAGACGTGAATAGACGTGAATAAGTGGATTTGCATAATAGATGACCTTTACATGGGATCGGTAACAGGACGCTTCTTCACAGGTATTAATACATGTCTAGACAAATTCTGCATTAAGTTGTGGATACTGCCAACAGTCCTGCATTGTCCTCCATCACTGAAGTGTCTTCATCCAACATGTGGCCAAAGCCTGTGTCAATAAAGCTCTCAGCCAATCACAGCTCAGGATTCAATGTCTACTTCATCCCGCCTCTCAGAGGTATCACTGTCTTTGGTTTCAGCAGGATGGTTGTGTTCTGGCTTGGGGAAATGGACCATGGATCATGTATACTTACTGGGGGTTAGGGTTTGTTAGAATGCTGGTAAGGGGACACCACGGGCCACAAAGTGAAAATAAACCCCGGACACTTAAGACAACAGGGTAAATCTATTAGCAGCCGTCATTAAGGGAATTGAGAGGGTATTAGATTCCAAAAAGGAAAACATATCTTCTTCACACTTAACATCTACCTTAAAACATATATTATACATCAGTATGTTTACCCTAGAAACCTGCAGATTTAACGACTACATTTTAGATTTTCAAAGTAAAACTAGATCACTGATTCAGACAAAACAATGGTGCTTGAAGGATGTGTATTTTGTAAATTGTTTAATTGTATATATATATCTCTAATATGTTTTAATGCATGCTTCTTGGGTAATATTAATCTGTCTTTTTTTGCTGTAACAAATGCAACTTTCCTCTCTGTGGGACGAATACAGTATAATAATAAGTATTCTGAACATTTCAAGAGTTTGACGATGAAACTAGATCCTATGAAGTGTCAGATGGAAAGGAAGTCATTACAGGTCTGAATAAGTGGTCAGATTATTGCAGATTATGCAGAAAATGCTCATGAATCCTCTTTCTAACTGTCATATGCTTTTATTTTGAAATACACTGACAAACTACCTATTCTGTCACTTAGGGATGATGACTGTGTGGATTTCAGGATTTATTTTGCTTGCTGAGTTGTTAACTTTTCCTAAGTGTTGTGACATTATGCAAACAAACAGCCGACTCATCTGTTGCCTCCATTTGGCAGATATTATAAAATATGCAACACACAATCTCATCCTTTGCCGACTCATGATATCATAATGTGACAGAAAGTTGGAAACAATCTCTTCTCCATCTCACGGCTGCCCACACACTTCTAAAACGCTTCAACACAACCAATGTCAGTCAGTCAGAGTGTTGTGCGTCAGTCACTGAGTCCGTAGACTTCGCCATCGGCAGCAAACCAAATTAAAACTGTGCAATTTAGCTTTTATATCGTACTACAAACAACACTGTATACATTTTAATAAACATGTACTTGTTCTATATTGAATTACAATGTGTACATTTGTACTTTAACTTCTTATGTTAATCACTTTATTGTGTTTGACTTTTAATTGCAGATTCTTTAATAAACTTCTTATTTTTATATTTTTGGTTTATTTGAACTTTGATAGAATATTTTGTATTCAATACTTATAATACTAGCTAACACTGTACACATTGCAATGAACATATCATATATCATGTGCATATTTGTACTTTCTTATTTTAATATCAACTTTATTTCGTTTGATTTAATCATTTTATTGCACATTTCAGAATTCTTACGTTTCTATAAATATGTTTATTTTATTATGATTCTCTTTTATTGGACATTTACTTTAACCTTACATGCTTTAATAACATTACAATTTAATTAAATGTTCGTATTGCACAGACCTTCTTCAACTTCTAGCCGTTAATATAAATATTTATATTTCATTTTCTTATTTATTCTTCTCTTATTTGACTTCATTATATTTGAAATCAGAGCCACTGTCATGAAACCCTATCATGTCTCTCCGGATAAATACAGTTTTCAGATTTTCCACATCACTTCCTCTGCGTTTCTGTTTTACTACGGAGTGAGAGTTCACATCCAAACCAACAAGTTACGAGACACTAAACCTCTCGTGTCTGCACGTCCTTTTCACGTTGATGCTCTCAGAAGTCTTTCTACTCAGGCGACGGTGTAAACGTACAGGACTTTGACAAAGACAGATGACTCTGTCGGCTCGATGCCTTAACCAAGGACACAGTGCTTTTTTCTGCTGTTCCTCTCCCTACACACACACACATGTACAATCCTGACACACACACACACATGTACAATCCTGACACACACACACACACATGTACAATCCTGACACACACACACACACATATGTATAATCCTGACACACACACACCATGTAAACATCACTTCAGGGGACATTACATTGACTTACATGCATTTCCTGGAGACTTAGCCTAACCTTAATCATAACCAACACATGCCTAACCCTAACCCTAACCAAGTCTTCACCCTAAAATTAATGATTCACCTCATGGGGACCTCCATTTTGTCCCCATAAGGGAGGCGAGTCCCCACACGTGACTGTGTAAACAGATTTAGGTCCCCACAAGTATATTAATGCTAGGACACACACACACACACACACACACACACACACACACACACACACACACACACACACACACACACACACACACACACACACACACACACACACACACACACACACACACACACACACACACACACACACACACACACACACACACACACACACACACACACACACACACACACACACCACACACACACACACACCACACACACACACACACACACACACACACACACACCACACACACACCACACACACACACACACACACACACACACACACACACACACAGCTATCGGGATGTTAAGAGCATTCCATGGAATATAACAAAAAGTGTATCTCGAGCCGGTTTCTCAAACTTACCTACCCCACCTTTAAAGGGCCCTTTTATGACCATTGTCAGGTTCATATTGGTATTTAGTGTCTCTACTCTGACACGAGTTCATGTTCAAAAAGCACTTTATAAACACAGGAGAGGGAAAAACCCAAAAAGCTTAATAGAACCTCTCTAATACAAAATGTGCCATACGAGCGATTATAGTGCAGGTAATTTCTCTACTTTGCTTTATGAGTTACGGTGTATAAGTGCTGAATGTGATTGGATAACACCATATTATGCGGAATAAAACCATAACACAGCAATACTTTCTGTGTAAATCCGACCTCCTGGGGGCTTTTAATTATACCTCTAAGTCAAACACCACTTCTACTCCACAGTCCCAGGCTTTTAGATATGAACCTTAAGAAGACAAAGTGATGGGATGGAAGTGAAGGTAATGTTCTTTCCATTCTACCTTCCTCTCCCCGGTCCTTACCTGTGAAGTCGGAGGCACGAGGGGTGAGGTTAATCTCGTCGGCTACTGTTAAAGGAAGTGGAAGGAAAGAAAGGGAGGGGTACAAACATTTGGGGGTTTCAGTTAGTAAATGACATTCCTCATGCAACATCCAGGTAGCGCTGCAAACACATCACACAATGCTTCATCTCAATTAGGACGGGACGCCATGCGAGACGAGGGGGTGGGGGTGGAGGTGGAGGGGGATGAAAGGAGGGTTTCTGAGGATAGCAATCAAGACGTTGTTGTGGTATCAACACGGCACAGAGCGGCAATCTGCTCGGGAAGATTAGATATGATTATAGAGAGTGAGAGCGGGGAGACTGGTGCAGCCAAAGCAATCAGCGACTGTTCCGAGCCATTTCAAGGAGAATCAACTCGGGGGAACTTCTCCACTTTTTGGCGAGAGGTGTCCCGTACAGAGGCAGAATATATTTACATAGAACGAGTGTTGGGGAGATGTGCAGGGATGTGTGGAAACGGTTACAGGAAATCTGAGGTTTTTTAAAAAGGTTTTACAGAGTTTGAAGGAGCTGAGGTGTGCTAGGAAAGTTCAAAATGACCCACAGATTGTAATATCTGAACCTCCTATAGCTGATACCACGTGATGATAATGTGTGACTGAATGAGGTTTTCACCGATGGTGGAATTTAACCCTTAAATATTTTGTAAAATTAAGCGATTGCTATTTTCTACAATACACCCATATAACACTGTTTTTACACCGTTTATACAAATGAGACACACATATTAAAACCATATTACTACACTGTTATTACACCCATTGTCACAATATTACATCCATATCGCGCATGGAGACAGCCGGTCAAATGACCATTTAAGGTTTAACGTGATGATAATGTGTGACTGAACCCAGGCGGAGGTTTTCACCAGTGGTGGAATTTAAATTACTCAAATATTGCACTTAAGTACAACTACCTAATTCCGATTATAATCTAAAAGAAAGTATAAGTACACTACTAAATAAACATTGAAATACATGTTTATTTATTCATGTTAAAATATCCAGCAGAAGCATCAAGACAATTTACGAATATATTTTATTCATCTCCGATCACAATAAGTGTATGTTATACTACAAATAACAGTGTTTTATACTATGGATACTAGTACTTTAAACTTGTGATTCCTCACGGATTAGTGTTGTGATTAACGTGACTAAAACTAATTAAAATCTGTTCCACCATTGACACAAAGGCATAACTGATAACAATCCAATCATTTCATATTATTCTGACATGGGTAATTACAAACCTAAATATACTTTATGCCAATACTACTTTTACCTAAGAAGGAGCCTAACCTGGACACATTGGATTATCCTTCAGCCGCGTTTTTATCGTTGTAATGCCATTGAACACAACTTCTGATCAGAACACCACAAAGTTAAGACGTTTTTAGCTGGGTTCGGATCGCTCAGTGGTGATACTTATATGTCTGGAATCTGTGGAATCTCAGCTTGCTAATCGATATCTTGTTTGTGCAGATCCGATAAGTAACAAGGGTATTTAAACGTGAGTTCTGTGCTAAGTGTGTTAGCATTTGTTCGCTCAGGGCTAATTCAGAGCCTTTGTTATTACCCTTATGTTTCGTTTAGCTAAAAATGGTTAGTATCGTCTGAAAGCTGAGTCTCTGAGTAAGTGGGTATGACACATTCATACTTTATTAAATGTTAAGAAGCCCTCAGACGCCGTTTCTTGCAAGATGTTGCGTTTTTCCCCCGCCCGGGGTTTAACTGGTTAACTTGTAACAGTCTAATTTAGTATTGCTAATTTTAGTTAAGTATAAAATCTACACTATCCACCACTGGTTTCACATCCTGCCTCAGGCCCTGCTCTGAAACAACATGTGTTACCTCCCTGTAATGAGATGAATATCTTAAATGAAGAGGTTTTTAAAGTGTTGTACCTAGATCCATGCTCTTGGACTTGCGTGTCTTGATGATCTCGAGGTGAGCGGCGTCTCCAAACTGTTTGGTGCGCTTCTCCGACATGCTCTGGCGCCCGAAGCCTTCCCTTTGAAAGCTGCCGTCCGGATCGTTTTCATCTGGATTCACCGAGCTGGAGAAAAGGTACGATAAGAGGATTGTAATGATCCCACAGAGGACACAATGTGTGTGACAGCTCTAAAAGGAAGCATGCGAACAGATGAGAAGCTCGATAACTCACTTTTCTAGCAATTTCTATCTCAAATATGGAGACTGAGGAAAGGTGTAATGAGAGGAAGAGGAAGTAAGAAAGTGGTGGGTTTAAGTACAATAGGGTGACAAATGTTCAAAGAACGTATTTTCTTTCAACTCGTACATTTGAAAAAGGAAAAAAGAGATGGAGGGAAATCTAAAGAAGAATTGGGAGGGTTTAAAAAGTAAGAAAAATGAAAGAAAATGAAGTGTTGGAGGAATAAGTGACTGAGGCTAAAAAGAACAAAGTCAGAGACAGGAAATGAGCATGGGGGGGAATATTAAGAGAAAGAAAAGGAAAGGGCAGAGCGATCAGAGGAGGCTGGAAGAAAAGAGGAATGCAGCTTCAGAGGTGGTGTGGGACAGAGAGGAACACCAGATCACACCGGGGAAGAAAGACAAACAAACAAGGAACAGAATGAGAAAACATAGAAACTGTAGAAACATTATATAGAAATGTATCGGAGAGCCAAAGTATTTCTCATCGCTGACCAGATTACACTTAAAGATCAAATGCAAAGCTTCCAAATATGCTACATTTTTATAGAAATGTTGTTTTTAAGATTTAAAAAATTTAAATCGAGATAATACACCCGAAAAAAAGCTTTTTATTGATACAAAACTCGACCCAAAGCCGTCTGAATTTCTGACATGACCTCCCCAGCAGCCTCCGCGCGCGTGACGTCATACATGCCAAACAGTCTCTGGACCAAACATCCCGACTCGGCAGTCTCGGTCACAAGTTTTTCGACAAGAAAACTGAATTAACATGGGTTATTGTTGTGCTTTTTGTTGTACGAACGGTGCGGGATCTGGGAGAGTTTTTCATGTATTTCCCAAAGACCAAATCATCCGCAAAAAATGGATTTTGTTAGTGAATCGTGTTGGCTGGCAACCGACAAAATGGAGCAGGTTGTGTTCTGATCACTTCGCGTGTGATGCATACGACGTTGATCCTGCTATCATGAAGTCTGTTGGTGGAGAAGCATTAATAGCACGTCGGAGGCTGAAACCCGGAGCCGTCCCCTCCATATTTCAGCACAAGAAACCACTGAAAGAACGAAAGAGCCGGGCGATGCAGAAACGCCAAAGAATTGAGGTAAACAACTTTTGATTAGATTTCAAAGCGCACGGAGCACAGCAGATAACGCAGATAACGGAATTTCAGTTTTATTAAGTTGTATTGCTTATAGAGGTGGGCACCGTTAGATTATGTGTCTTTACGATCATAAACAATGTGTTGGATGTGGAGCTAGGATAAGTAATAAGGGAACTAGGAGTGATTATAGTATTTCCTCTTCGACATCAGAGGCTCGTAGAGATAGGGTTGGATGTCGACAACATACTCCAGATATTGGGTGGCCTCCGACTCAGAATCAGACATGATAAGCCGGGTGGAAATATGTTAGGCATTGAACAAATTCCCATCCACCTCGTCCTTGTGAGGTGAGTCCGCCTGGACTTTATTTCTCTAAACCTCTCTAAAAAGGTCAAATTTCACTTGTTTTGCATCAATCTTGATACAGGGTACTTATTATATGTTATAGTTTGGATTCCTAAAGCTTTTAGTCTATAGTCTACTCAGAATCAGACATGATAGACGAAACTAGTTGTACTATCGGCGGAAGCCGCTGTGATTGATAAGCCAGGTGGAAATATGTTTGGCACATCTGACGTCACGCGCCGCCATCTTGCGGAGGAGCGGCGGAGAAAATAAATCGTCGGACTTGGTGTTGGGGGTTGAACAAAATTAATATTGCGCATTGCCAGACTCATATTATCTCCGATTTTAATACTGCAATATCTTAGATAGTGTTGTAGCTATATTATTTCGATTGTACTGGCAATTATACAAAAAGCTTTGCATTTGATCTTTAAAGTGGACCTATCATGCTATATTGGAAACATATAGGGCCATACCTATACAAAACATGTCTGTGAGGTTTTTTGCTTAAAATCCCAAACAGATCCCCCATTGTAGCTCAAACTGCTCAAACCCCTCTTTTGCAGCCCTGTTAGAGAAACGCAGATCTTGGGTCCTTAGCTTTAAAAAATAAAAGAGGAGGCGGAGCTAATGCCTGATCAGAAATCTACCGGAGATACAAATAAAAGTTACATTTGGTTGTGATAAAACGCCATCCTGTTCTAAACCACATCAAGGATTATGTCAGAAACAGTATGGAGCTCAAAAGCTTTTTCTCTTGCCGGTTTATCACAAGGTGAGTTCCTTTTTTATTTCCTGCTTTTTAAACACGTGCTCTCCAGTACAGGTTAGCTCTGAGTGTTAGCGATGCTAATGTAAACAAAGACGAGATTACGTCCAAAACAGGTCAGGCATTGTTTCTGATAGCAACTCTCTGCGGGTCCGCCATCCGATTTGACGTCATATCGGCAGCGAATCTGTATCCGCTCGTTGTACCCCCGTTTTTAAAAGATTTGGGTACGGAGGAAAAGAGAGAAGGTTTTATTTTCTGACGCTGCGTGATTTCCTCGACGCACCGGGGACACATATTGATGTATAAAAGACATCACAAAGTGCATTTTGCATGATAGGTCCCCTTTAAGTTGCAACAGTAGCCGGTGTTTAAGATAAGATGAGATGTAAATTATTTAATTCCAATGTGGGAAATGTTTGCGTCGCAGCATAAAGGACAAGGCATTGCACATAAGAGAAATTAAGAGTAAAAATAAACAATTCTAAAATGTAAACATCGCAAATAGAAATAAAACAGCATTACAAATGTAGAAAATATACATGTTGTAATATCATATAATATAATACTCTGAATTTACAAAAAATATATAACATGTATCATATTATTTGATAATGATTAGTTGCAGTGTTATGCGATGTGTTCCCCTGACATTGAGGTGCATACACAGCAGCAGTGTGTGTGTGTGTGTGTGTGTGTGTGTGTGTGTGTGTGTGTGTGTGTGTGTGTGTGTGTGTGTGTGTGTGTGTGTGTTTCACATCTGAGAGGCCATACGGATGAGAGCTGCCTACAATCAGGGGCCAATCAGAGAGAGGACACACACACACACACACACTGTACAGGACACACACTGACCTCGTTCAAAACTACAAGCTCTCATAAGAGGATTATTATATAAGTGATTATTGAAATTCTAGGCTTGTCCATGCCCTTAGAATTAACTTGAAATGTCAAATGTTTGCAAAGCATGCCTTAATATAATTACACAGAACATCTCCTGATTAGAGTTCTGCACTGATAGCGTCTTTTTGGAGGTCAACCACTTGATGACGGTTGAAGCGTAGATGTAATATCCAGAAGTAAAACGCTAACTCTAGGTTATAAAATACATAAATCAGTCACATGACTTCCTGTCACCACCGCTAATGTTCAGCGAGATGGCGTTAAACAGTTTCATTGAGACACTGAGACTCATGACACATAAAGGCATAGCATACACTATAAGCTGATTTTGCTTATGTCGGAGGACAACATGTGAATATCTCCACACCTTATTTCAGGCATCTGGCCGGACACTCCTTAAAACGCAGTGGCTTGAAGACGAGGGACACAAAAAGTGCAGAAATGCTGATTCATTGCCAAGTTTTAGGACTTATTCCTGCACCACCCTGTACATCTAAACACTACGTTAGTCTGATGTCACAGCGTAGGAGACAACCAGCACAACAACAGCTGTTCATCTCCTCACAGCTCACTATACTTCATGTGTCTTTGTTTTGTTTCCTTCTTCTACATTTCATACTTGTGGTTTTGTAATAATATATTGTTGTAAATTGTTTAATGAATGAATTCTTATCATTTCACTATTGGATTGTATTATCCTTGATGCTTTGGCAATATTGTTCATGTGACATTCATGCCAATAAAGCGTATTGAATTGAATTGAAGACTGAGGGAGGGAAAGTGAAGGTTGTTGCCCACCTGTTGCTCTGAGGAGGCGGCTCTTTGGCCCAGGGCGGCGTCAGGTCGGCGGTGAAGCCCACATCATCGTGGGAGCTGGATGATGATTGGTCGGAGAGAGGGGGGGGCAGGAGGGGCGGCCGGTCGTCCTCGATGATCACCGTGTCGTCCTGCGGCATGTTGACGGTGGGCGACAGCTGGTAGTTTCCTGGAGGAGAAAACATCATGTCTTTATTCCTCACATCTTTCCATTTGTTGATTGACGACGTTTCTCTTCATGTTCTGAGTGTTTCAGTGCTTTCTGCTGCCGTGTCCACGATCAGTCTAATGATGAGGAGACCATTTAAAGCTCACCTATTATGCTAAATCTACTTCTCCATGTCTCTTCTACATCAACATGTGTCCCCTCTTCTTCATGTCTCTTCTACATCAACATGTGTCCCCTCTTCTTCATGTCTCTTCTACATCAACATGTGTCCCCTCTTCTTCATGTCTCTTCTACATCAACATGTGTCCCCTCTTCTTCATGTCTCTTCTACATCAACATGTGTCCCCTCTTCTTCATGTCTCTTCTACATCAACATGTGTCCCCTCTGTGGAAAGAGACTCTGAAAGTTACAGGAACAAACATTCTCTCTCTTTTTGATCCATTTCTATCAAAACCTGTCTGAAAATGAGCTGATCAGATTTTGGCCACTTTATGATGTCATAACGATGTTTTGTCTTGAGTAACCATTAGCCAATCAGCAACCAAGGTAACCCCCCCCCCCCTTATCACCTGAATCTCCTCCTAGAGCACCATTGAGTTACTTTGTAACCAAATCTCTCTCAGAGGGGCGTGGGGAGGGGCTCCTTAATTTCATCTAAAGTAACAGACAAAGAATCAGCCCTTTGGAAACAGGGCTGAAACAGAGGGGATTATGGGTAATGCTGCAATGATCTGTTTGGTGTTTCAGCCAATCAGAGACAGGCTCTGTATATATCTGAGACCTGTAATATATTGATGAAAAACAGTATAATAGGGGACCTTTATGGCTTTAATGTCATTTGCACATTAGCTACAGTGTAGATATGGCAATGAAATACGTAGGTCACGGGCTCCTCCAACAGTGCAACATATATATAGGACATAGAACAAACAGATACAATAGTGAAGAGAGATGGAGAGGAGCCATAGACACGGCAGCCATCATCATTGTGATGTCATCTCCATTGTTAACGCCTCTCGTAGCAGAGGAGCTGTTACTTGAATGTTTCAGTCTGACTCCTTGATCCTATCTGTGACCCCATATTATAAAATAGACTCTCCTTCAGAATCAAAGAGCATCTCCTCTTTCCCTTGTCTAGTTGTGTCTGATATAATATAATAATACACAGAGAGGTACATCATTTTAGTGACAAAAGGACTCATTCACATATTCAAATGACCAGAACACAATCAGCCTTTGTCACACAGAATTTATCATTTCAAAATCATGGATGTACTAAATGACTCGGCTAATTCAGCACATTGACAGGAAACCAGGGGTCATTTGAGACTTAGCATAGAGCGCTGTTGCTTCCCCAACTTATTGACACAAATAATAAACATTGTGAATAAATGTGTCTTCAAAGTGAATCATAAAATGGCCTTTCTTATTTCTCTTGTCTAGTTGTGTCCGATGCAGAACAATTAGACAGTGAGAGGTCTATTGTTTTAGCTGTTCTGCTCAACGTTTTTTAAGTCGTGAGTACATAACAAACCCAGCGATGAGGCACATTTTCACCGTTCAGAGCAAACATGGATATCGATGATGAATCACTGCACAGCTGCTGATGTCTCCGCACAACAACCACAATCACTGTGAAAGGACTCGTGTTAGCGTCTACATAATGCATCGAATATGAGTTTACGTCACAGACACACACGCTGCAGATTGAGAGCTATGTCAATTGATCAAAGCTCAATTTTATTCCATGTGTGATTTCATTGAAATATTTAAGATATAGGAACATTAGACAATGGTCTGTTCAAATAACTCTAACTTATGTACAGTTTAGGGATGCCAGCGATTATTCGATTATTCGTTACAGTCTCCATAATCGAATATTATTTTTAAAAATCGATTTTATTTATATATTTTTTTATTATTATTTATGTTTTTTTAGTTTCAACCAAAATATAGACTAATGCTAATAATAGTATTAACAATTGTAAATGGCCATTGGTCACACCACCAGTTTGTTTTACTGTAAACTTGGAGGAAGCACGCTACACACCGCCCCCGCCCCCGCCCCCGCCCTCCCTCACACGTGCGACTAAAGATGAACAAAGCGGCAGGTAAAAAGAGTTCCTCCTCGTGGAACTACTTCGAACTTATAAGTACAAAGGAAGTGAAATGCAGGCTCTGCGAAAAGATGTTGGTCTATCATAGCTCAACCTCAGCAATGCGTTCGCATTTGACAGCCTACAGCCTGTATTAATAATAGCATTGCAATAAATAAATTGCTATAATAATATTTATTGCAATGCTGCTATTATTAATACAAGCTGTAGCCTGTATTTAATAATGGCAGCATTGCAATAAATACATTGTGCGCGCATAGCGCATCTCCAAATAAAGGCAATGGCAGGCACTTTAGAAAATAACAAAAAATAAACCAACATCATGTTGATGTTGGTTTCTTTGTCGTTTATTTTGTTTGTACTGTTAAACATGTTCCAGTAAAGAAAACAACGGAATTCCTTTTGTCTGAGTTTTTTTTTTTGTCCCGCGGGGGGGTCGGTCGATTAATCGATTATTATTCGCCAGGGCTGCCGAATAATCGATTTTGATCATGGTCAGTTTCTGGCAACCCTAGTACAGTTGTGGTCGAAAGTTGACATAGACTTGTAAAGAACATGTATTAGATTTGATCACATTTTCAGAAGACCATTATAAATTCATAAAAGAACCAAACTTCATGATTTTTGTTTTGTGACAAAAGCCGCTTTCACATCAAGTACTTTGCTGTACTTAGTTCCCAGCACTTAGTTCCCAGCACTTAGTTCCCAGCACTTAGTTCCCAGCACTCAGTTCCCAGCACTCAGTTCCCAGCACTCAGTTCCCAGCACTTAGTTCCCAGCACTCAGTTCCCAGCACTTAGTACCCAGCACTCAGTTCCCAGCACTTAGTTCCCAGCACTTAGTACCCAGCACTTAGTTCCCAGCACTTAGTTCCCAGCACTCAGTTCCCAGCACTCAGTTCCCAGCACTTAGTTCCCAGCACTCAGTTCCCAGCACTTAGTACCCAGCACTCAGTTCCCAGCACTTAGTTCCCAGCACTCAGTTCCCAGCACTTAGTACCCAGCACTCAGTTCCCAGCACTTAGTACCCAGCACTTAGTACCCAGCACTTAGTACCCAGCACTTAGTACCCAGCACTCAGTTCCCAGCACTTAGTTCCCAGCACTTAGTACCCAGCACTCAGTTCCCAGCACTTAGTTCCCAGCACTTAGTACCCATCACTCAGTTCCCAGCACTTAGTTCCCAGCACTTAGTTCCCAGCACTTAGTTCCCAGCACTTAGTTCCCAGCACTCAGTTCCCAGCACTTAGTTCCCAGCACTTAGTTCCCAGCACTTAGTACCCAGCACTCAGTTCCCAGCACTTAGTTCCCAGCACTTAGTACCCAGCACTCAGTTCCCAGCACTTAGTTCCCAGCACTTAGTTCCCAGCACTTAGTTCCCAGCACTTAGTTCCCAGCACTTAGTTCCCAGCACTCAGTACCCCCATGGAACTAACGAGCAGATCGTGTTCACACAGGAATAAGTCCCTGAGTGAAGATTACGCAAATGAAGCCGCTGACGTCACTTAGTCTTCTTCTGCTTTGGGTTTACTGGCAGGCCGCAAACCACTTCAAGGCGTATACTGCCGCCCGAAGTCCCCGGAGTTGGGGACTGACTTCAGTAGAACTAGAGACTCCCAGCAGCTTCTACTGAACGCCGACACCTCCTCATCTCCACCGCTCCCATGGTTTATTTTGTGTTGCCATAAGTTAGTCTCTCTCCGTTGGTGCGCGGGGCTAATGCTAATGCTAATAATGCTAATGCCAGCAAATAAAATGGCGGCTTCAAAAAACTTTCCCGAGTTTTACGGGGCGTGGTTTGCAATCCGTCCAGCCATTCAGAAATTGGTACTTTTTTCTCCCCAGGAAAGTACCACCTCTCTAGCAGGGACAACAATGGGGGAAAAGTTCTCTGAACTAAGTTCTCTTTTTGGTGTGAACGCAAAATCCCAGGAACTATCAGAACTAAACGGGAAAAGTACTCCGGTGTGAAAGCGTCTAATGTATGTGCTCCAATCACTATCACATAAGAGTTGTATTGAAAAATCAAGACTGTCATGAAATACATGTTCGTTACAAGTGTATGTTAACTTTTGACCACAACTGTAGCCGCTAGGACAATATTATAAATGTAGTATTAATCATAAAGTTAGTGAGTTACGACTCTATGCACCAAACCCTCAGTAACAGATGTATTTACGTGTCAAGCATGAAACTGCAGGAACCCGTTACCAAAGAACAAGTTTGCAAAACAACAAAATAAAGGGCGACTTCATAAACCACACAGACATAGTTAGAGTGAAAGTGCTCCTGGCTAATCAGCTTACACCAAGTGGAGTTTGGCAGCGAGCACAATGGCGTTCCTGTGTCAGAACACTGATTAATTCAAGCTGCGCCCTCACAAATAGAGATAAACCTTCGCTGTGCTGAGGGGGGAAACATTAAAAAAGTCCCCATTTTTTTCTGTGCTTCTGAAAAGCATGGCTTTAAAAAAACTCCCATTGATATGCGGCGCATGACTTTGTCTTTAATCTGTATTTTGAAATTGGAAGCTGGGAGTGGGGGGGGGGTTTCTCTGAATCAAAAGGAGGGCAGCTTCAATGCGTCATGAAAGCTTTGTGTACTGAGCTCAGGGAGACGTTTGTTTGTCTTTAGAAAGCCGAGAGACTTGGCCTCGGTGTTTGTTTCTCATGAGGAGCACCCAGGGGATCAATGTGCTACTGAGGGGAGGGGGGGGGGGGGGGTGACCTGATGTAAATGGAGCTGAATGCAGGGGGAAAATGGGCCTGGGTGTTTGTAACGGTAGTTTAAAAAGTCATCAGTCACTGTTCTCTGTTAATCCTCTTGAATAATAATGAGTTACAAAGTCACCTTTCATTTCAAGGTACCAAGTAATAAGTGGCTT